CTTAAGATTTCATATTCCTCAATTTTAATCATTCTTTTGAAAAACAAATATTTCGTAATGATGGTGTGATGCTTACTATTTATATCTGTCTGTTTAGAGACCATATGTAGCTCAAATTGATGAGTTTGATTGTATTATGTTCAAGTGGATCAAATAGTTTAGGTTCACCATCGTTTTGAACAGAATCATCAACGCTTCCTTCAAACTGGTTTATATATAATACTTTCATTTGTTTTTACTTTTCATTAACACTGAGATTAATTCATATCATCAAAATGAAGTATTTTATGTTCAGACTAAACTAATAACATAAATATTCAACAAAATTTGTTTTGATTATTGACAATATACTACCGATTATTACAATGAATGTATGTTTAAACTTACATTAACCTATTATGTTGATCTTAGATTTATATTGTCATTGTAATTTAATTAGATTTCAATTATTTTTTTAAAAAAAAACATGATTCAATATGATTAAGATATTTAAGTGTGTTCCCACAATTGTATATGAAAAGCACATGTCTGAAGATGTTTATTAAGACATAAAGTATATGTATAGGATTCATTAGAGTGATAGTGAAAAGTGTAGAACATTAGCTAACTTTCATTGTAATGAAATATGATAAATAAAGTGTAGATATGTTAATATTACTGATTTTAATAGTTGAGATCATGAGTCAATTAAAGCTAGACTATCATGGAAAACCTGGAAGAACTGGACAGACGATTCGTCCTAATGTGAGACACCTCAGCGGTGCACATAAACCTCGCGAGGTTTGAACCTAGGACCTATCAGTCTCGCGTGTGAGTACTTAATCACTAGACCACTGAGCCGGCATCAAACAGTGCTGAGGAGTTCCACAGTAGGATGAAATGGCCGTCCAGTGCTTTCAGGTTTTCCATGGTGGACTAGATTTAATTAACTCATGAATCTCAACGATTAAAAATACTATAATATCCACAAAACCCTTTCTGAAATTAGTGATTTGTTAGATATTGAATGCATCTCATTATATTTAATAGAAAAAATATTACAGGGTTTTCTAGTGTTATCCTTAGTTAGTTGAAATTATAGTTATCAGAAGCTCATTTTAAATTAGATTGCCGAACTGATCGGATGATAGTTATTTGTACTTACTACTTACTTTCCTTTACTCAAACTCGTTTCATTTAAAATGACTTTAGGAATATCTTACAATTATCGTTACAAAGTGGTTTTATAAATATATTTTGATTGAATGAGAGTATGTTTACTTTACTGACAAAACCATCCAGTCAAGAAGAGGTGTAACTTTGTTAAACTGAACATTATTCAATCATCATTCATCCACTGTTTTAAGAAAAACTAACACCAAACTTTATCTTATGTATGATCTTACACTAAACACATTATTATTAAAATCGAGACGATATAGAAACCCAGGGTTTCTTTTTAATCTCCAACTATCTAAAGTCAATCAAAGTGTATCATTTAGATGAGTAGTCACCTTACACGTTCTAATTTATTCACGACTTGGAACTAGACAATATGAGATCCACTTTTAATTAGTTAATAATATTTATCTGGAAGCATATTATGCTTATTTGCTTTGATATTTATTTCATTATTAACATTTTCACTGTGCTTCCTTGCTGGGTATTACATATTCTCTAGATGATGACTTCATATTCATTGTATATACATCTTACTTGATTATAAGTAATGACATTTTAATACTGGGGTCATAAATCAGAATGGCAAACAAGTCACTACTAAACCTTACACTAAGATTCAGTATTTTTAAATTGTTGCATTGTAAACCGTCGTAGAATAGCATGGCTAATAAGGAAATAATTAAAATTAACTGAAAAAAAAAACAGATACATTAGATATGATTAATGAAAAGTACATGAATATACATTACTGTGATCGATCTTCAATTTCACAAAAGCATTCTGACACTGATTCCTATCATTCAAAGGATACGAAATGATAATTATGTATTTTCCATTGTAACTCCAGTTAACATGCTGGTAAGCGGCCTATGCTCCTTCACGAGGAGTAACAGGCGTAAGTAAGTAAGTGAGTCCCGTTAACAATCCGTATTATTTTAATTCAGTCAATTTTAGGTACTCCTAGTCCAGCTAGCAAGCCATATGAAAGTAGACCGTGAAATGTTACTGTGTAGGAGTTTTCAAAACGTTCGAGTAGATATTGATTTCGTCAGCAACTATGTTCCACATCTAAACTTAGCTGCACTACACATTCAAGTTGAAATGACTTGCTAAACACATGATTTGATTACGTGGATACTTCTGTTTTGTTTCCAAAATGTTCTCGCAATCACGTCTTGAATTTAATAGATCTAAAAATAATTCAGACATTTTCTTAAATTGTATTTTCATCAGCACTTTCCATCATCTATGTATCATAAACTAATGAAAAAAATCTCAGGAAAGGAGTTCTTTTAATAGCTAAAGATAAATATTTTTATAATGAAGTTGAATATTCCTGATGATATTAACTACTATGAAATAATGTTATTTATCATTTCATCCAATATTATAATTGGATATAACGTTTATTATATTAGACTGTAGATCATCAACGTAGATGTTGAATGATTGGAGACCTACTCGAGTTAGTGAGACCAGCACCGTATTGACTAGTCCATGGCATACGATTAACTGATGCACGTTGGTTGTCCTTGACTTCGATAAAGATCAATTATCTGTTCGATATTCAGTGACTCAACTACCGGATGATTTAGCTAGGACTCAGTAAAATTTCACTGGCCATCCAAGACCAATTTCTAAGCTTGTTCTTTTTGTCATTTTTCAGATGGCGACTGATTAATATTAGGTTACTAAATATAAAGAATTTATTCACATGATGATTAAAAACAACTCTTAACTACAAATAAGATCTATTGTTATATGGTTGATCAAGCATAAAGTTCAGATCAGTTTTATTAATATTTGACCACACTAATACAATCAAATTCAAATCTGTAGAGAAATAACCATTCATATGGGATTTTATATATTCTCAATATAACTAGTTCACTGTACGTTAGCGTTCGACTATTGAACTTTAATCGAATAACTATTCTCAATAATTAATGGACTTCAATGTATAAACCACTTTACATACAAGTTTGATTCATTATTGCTATGGTTATAGATAAAAATTTATTGACTGGAATTGTTTATTGTAAACTATCAAAATGATTGAAAACATATGACATTTCAATACAAAAACAACAACAACAACAACAAAAACCTCTAATCATTAAATAACAATATGAGTTGATAAGATATTTATCTCATCTTATTGATAAAATCTGGGATTCAACCAGGTCTGTTGTGAGATAGTAACTCACTGAATACAATGCTGAATTTGTCGCTCAATTTCATGAATTAGTTGAAGCTAGACATTAACACCATTGGATGCCGACTGTTTCAATGGTCTAGAGGTTAAACGTTCGTGCACGCGAGACTGATAGGTTCTAGGTTGGAATCTCGCGAGGTGGATGTGCACTACTGAGTAGTCCCACAATAGGACGAAACGCCCATCCAGTGCTTCCAGGTTTTCCATGGTGATCTAGCTTTAATTGACTCATGATCTCAACCATTGAAATTACTGAACTATCCACAAAAACCCTTCTGATATATAATTTTGACATACTGAAACATTTGAAATTATACGGGAAAAAGTTTTTCATGCTTAATATTGATAGTAGAACAAAAATTTAGTCTTTTAAAACGATTGGTATATAATAATATAGTTTTAAATTGACTATATCGAAAAGAAATGAAAAAAAAACATTCTAGTTTACATGAGTAACTATGTTTTAAAAGTTAGTTACGGACATATTTGAAAGACCATTTAAATTCACTTACCAGAATATGTTCAATATAAACAAACATGTCTTCAAAAATAATAGGCTTCATACAAATTGGTGCTTATCAACCAGATAAATAACGGAAATCAAGAACCAATGTAAGTTACAAAACCAATAGAAATCTAAGAGTACTGAACGCCCGTTTGATCAGAGTTTGGGATCCCTAAGTAGTAAGCATCTACGACACAGCAACCGGGAATTAGTCCATGAACCTTCGGTACCGCGGCTGAACACCTAACCTCTAGTCAACTGAGGTGGCACTCGACAGTATACAAGTCTAACTTTTATGAATTTACTATTAAGTCAAATTATAGGACAAAAAATACAATGTTTAAACTGATGCATCAGATTACTTTGTAGTTGCTTCAAAAACGGAAATGACAAAATTGAAGCCAAATTCATGTTCACATAGTTTATCTTATACATAGATCAATATGTGCTGATTACTTTCCATTAACAATTATTCATATAGACTGAACTAGAAATAAACAGACATCGACTTTGGGACAGTACTTTGTCTAACGTTATATAAGTATGTATGCTTCGTATACGTGCAATATGATTAGAAGGCAGTTTTACTATGGATTATGAAGTCTTTACTTCAAAATCAATCAAGTGACATTTAGACAATTTTGTGTGTTCAAGTATATTTCTTTTTAAACATTGTTGACATCATGGACTAGCGCCAGTCGGCTAAACATTGAGCACCAGAAAGAATTGAAAAGTTATCAATGGCTATTTTTAGACTCTTCAACATTAATGACTAATGACCCTATACTATATTAATCTCAGAATAATCTTTTACAACTAGCGTGACATTTTAAGAACATTAGTTTGAAAATGAATAATTCATCTTACTGCTTCAGTAGACTTGGAAATACACTGGATATTGGAAGCCGTTGTACTGAGTAAGGACGTTAATCATTTTGAACTAGCTAACTATTTAAACTTCTGTTTCAAATGTATTGTATTCATTAGTAAACATTTACATACTATGGTGACTTACCATTATTATCATTGAATTTATCTGAAATGCAATTATTTTCAATCTTTTATCATACGATTAACGAAATAACGTTATGTTTTTGTTATTCTCTATTTCTATTTTAGTATCGCTCGAACAACTAAATTGAACGATGAGTATGGTTATATGTGTGAATGCAGTAAGATACCATACGATTTTGTAATAAAAAATGGAATAGCTCCAGGTGTTGGAATAGTTCAAACTGTAGAAGAGCATCACGCTGACTTAATTGTTATGGGTAATCGTGGACTAAGTAGACTCAAACGTACACTACTTGGTAGTGTAAGTAGTTATGTAGTACACAATGCATATGTACCATGTATCATGGTGCCACCGGTTTAAAAAAAAGAACAATCAATATTTATGCATATATGAAATATCTATGAAGCTTTTTTTGAAATCATATTTTTTATGCTTACTGGATTACTCTTCTTTCTTGATAATTTACTTTATTCATTGTGTAATACATTGTTAGTGTCATTTTAGAAAAGAAACTTGTGTATTCATTATTTGTTGTTTCATTTTCTAATATTTTCTAAATAATGTTGACTATTGAAACCACATAAGAAAGCTATACGTTCCCTTTTTTAAGACTTACAGGAAGTTGGGAATGAATACTTTTGTTTATAAGCGATATCAGTGGTGTAGATTCGGTTGTTCAGTATTTGTTTTTGAAATTCAGATGCATTATTATATCTCCTGCTAACTATTTTAATGTCAAGCACTGGCTAGAAAGATCTTGAAATAACTGTCTTACTTTATAACGTAAATTCATACGTGCAAAGCGTTCAAAATCTACATTCTCTTCAATAACCGTCGGTGTTTACGGTTAAAATCTTTAACCTTTTAATTTGTTATTGCGTAATACGGTTTATAAGATCACATATGAAATATTTGTCTCTATGTTGATCAGTTTCTGAATTTTGGTAAAGGAGGGAAAACTCGTAAAATATGCGTTATCTCTTTTTGCTCAATATCTTTGTTAGTACAAGTCTGTTGAAGTATTATGGTAAATTATCAGTAGCACATTTCAGAGAGTAGTTATTAAGCTCTTATCAACTAGGCTGAAGATAAACTCCACGTTGTCAAGTCATCTGAGTGTATCGTACGCATTAATTAGGGTTGTGTTTTCATTTATTCAGTCAGTCAATTATGGCTATTTTGGAACAATTTCTATTATAGAAATAATTGAAAATATGAAGTTTTACATTTTGTAATTTTTCTTCCATCATGACATAGTGCGCTACATTTCAGTCGTCCATAACATGATAACGTGGTATTTTGGTCGTAGGAAACTTTATATTTTTCGTATAAGCCAGCAGAAACAACGAGTTGAAACATGCCCTCTATCATGGACTGTAATAGTATAAATAGCAGCAACAACCTACTGTGGGAGAGAACAAAGCGGATTCCAGCGGAGGAAGAAGTCCGGAAGAAACGCTGGAACTCGATAGGCTATACACTGGGAAAAGCAAACAAATGAGTCACAAAGAAAGCCCTCACCCGGAGTCCTCAAGGTCAAAGTAGAAGTGGAAGACCAAGGAACACATTACACCGACAAATAGAGACAGATATGAGAAGAATGAACAACAATTAGATAGAACTAGAAAGGAGGGCCCATGACAGAGTAGGTTGGAGAGTGCTCCATTGGAGTAACAAGCGTAAGTAAATAAGTAATAACATTCAGTAAAAACAAGAAGAAGGACACATTCAACTGAATTTTATGAAGTAAAAATTCTTTAGAAAAATCTGTAATTTTCAGTAGGTATCAGACTAATAACTCTAATAACTCGAATAATAAATAATCGATAGGTAATCAGTTATTTTTTGGTTAATAACTGAAAGACTTGAAATATATCAAGATTAATGCATTTTCACATTGATTTAATGGTTTTTATAAGTTTTTATTGACCCGGGATCTGACTCTTATTTGATCGTCTCTGATTATTGTTGAAATATACTTGCTGACAATCCTCGTAAATAATCATCGACTTAAATCAGATTAGTGGATCACGGAATAAAAAAAGTAAAATACGAGAATGGATTTCGAATACGTGTGTTTCATGCGATCGTTGATCAGAAAGCGAAGCAAAACAAGATGATGCGCAGTCTAGAAGGCGAGTGAGCCAACTCGATTTAATCAAGCGTTAATCAATATTTATAGTCACACAAAAATAAGCTACAGACATATGATGTATAGGATAAGAAGTGCAAACACATATACACTCATATAAAAACAATCAAGATTGATTAGTGAATAATTACCAAGATCAAAATGTCACTCAAGAAGGGTAAATCAATTGGCTTGTTCAGTAGCTACAATAAACTATGTGAGCATAACAATAGTAACTGACACTACAAGACAACAGGATGAAACGGCGGTCCAGTGCTTCCAGGTTTTCCATGGTGATCTAGCTTCAACTGACTCATGATCTTAATCATAGAAATTACTACAATCTCCACAAAACCCCTTCTGTTATTAATCATAATATATGTTTACTTAAACACTTTTTTAATTTGTACATTATCAAAGTATATGTCTGATGTAGTATATAAAAATTGATCAATCTGATATGTTCCTTCGATTAGTTTTACACATTCTTAAATAGTTGCGTGATCAAACTATAATATACATGCATATAACTTACCTATATTTTAGCCTGTTTTTAAAAAAGAAAAAAAAATTGGCAATAATCAACATACTTTGCTTCTTTTAATAAAACAAAACGAAACCAAAAAAAAAGTTGAATATTATTTTGCTTGAAAATATTATTTCATAAATTTGTAAGTTTCCATAAGATCAAAGAGAAGGAAAAAAACGTCAACAAATTCTAAGAATTTTGGTTGATATCATGAACCGATTAGTGTTAGACCACCGTTGGATACCCGGAAGCACTGGACGGCCGTTTCGTCCAAGTATGGAACTTTTCAGCAGTGCTCATCCACGATCCCGCTTGTGGGATTCGAATCCAGAGCCTTTAGTTTCGCGCCAGGCGCTTAACTAACTAAACCACTGAGCCGGTATCCAACGGTGTTCATGTCTAACTTCAACCAACCCACGAAGTTGCGCCACCGTCACCATTGTCTTCAGTGAGCTGATATTTCACAACATTAACACCGTTGGATGCCGGCTCAGTGGTCTAGTTAGTTAAGCGCCTGGCGCAAGACTGATAATTCCTGGGTTCGAATCACGCGGGGGGCGGGATCGTGGATGAGCACTGCTGAGGAGTCCCATACTAGGACGAAACGGCCGTTCAGTGCTTTCAGGTTTTCTATGGTGGTCTAGCTTCAATTGATTCATGATTTCAACTATTGAAATTACCAATTCTCCACATAACCCACTCTAGTAATTTAAAATTGATTCGAAATAATTTTCTTGAATAAGCCAGTAATAGGTACTACGATTCAATGTAAAACTACATGGACACCAAATCTCTTATTTAGTTAAATGAATAGTTAAATCGATGTCATTCAACCGGTATTTTCATGCATCTATGACATGTATAGATAAATTTTTGAATAAAAACCAATAAAAATAACTTTTTTTATTGATTTGTTTCAATTGATTGATTGTGTTTGTTAACCACTTAATGTAGGTATTTAAGCCCTTTTTTTAAAAAAACATTTATTATCCATCACAAAGATAATTACTGATAGACTCAATCAGGATCATCGAATTGATCAGTATAATTTATTTCTCTGTCTTCTTATTGAGAAGAGCGTTTAAAGGTGAAGATTTATGCTGACTAATAATGTTTAAAATATATGCAAAGATGGATAATGGCTAGTAGTGGAATTCCATTTGGGACTCATCAGTTGGATGTACCTGCTCTCTGGGACTCAAACCGAATGCTGTTTGCTTCAAACGCCATCGCGTTATCTACTTAACTTCTGAGTGCTGATAGCCACAGAGTGAATTTTAACTCTGAGATGCAAGTACATCCAGCTGACGAGTCCCAAATAGAACGAAACGCGCGTCCTGGATTCCACTGCTAACCACTATCCATCTTGGCATATAATGCTTGTAAATTAAGGCAATACGCACAGTATGCACATATGTCAATAAGGGACTGACCAATTGTAGTCCTAAATATCAATAGGAAGATTCAAACAAATAATACCAAGTGAATTTAATGTTTAGAATAATTAGATAATTAAAGGATACCTTGTTATAAATTATATATTTGCGTTTTATATAATAATTATGATAATTTTCCTCAAAACTGTGAAAATTTACAATGAAAGTAGTCATTTTCGAATCATGTCACAAAAATAGTCTGTGTTGTAGAAGAGTTTAGTTGATGAATCATAATTTGAATACGTTATGAGTTCAATGAAATTATATTTTACTGATAATATTTAGTTACTCAGATAATGCCCTTGAGAAATTGAAGGCAATTTTTAGCCAATCTGAAACCAGATGACATAAATGAGCAACTTTTGATCTGATAACTCAAAGAAGATTAGGGTTATGAGTTAGTGCTAGGAAAGACAGTTATGAGTAAGAGTTTAAGCTATTAATTAGATGTCAGGAGTAATAGTTAAGAAAAGAGAATGTTTTGTAAGCATATATATGAATATTAATACACTTAGCTATTTGATTTTAACTTTCAAAAACCTGTTATTCACACATAAAACTTCATTAATCACAATTCTCTTTGCTTCATCTTGTAACGTTTAGCAATTTTAATTGTTGTACTAACATAATATTGGTAAGTTTTATTCAGGTCTTAATAATACACGAAGTATCCATTATAACATTTTGAATTTCATGCAAATACCCCAATAACTGCTATCTTGGATCCTATTGGTTCATCGGTAAAGTAAACATTTGATGGGGTTTTGTGGATAGTTCAGTAATTTCAATGGTTGAGATCATGAGTCAATTAAAGCTAGATCACCATGGAAAACCTGGAAGCACTGGATGGGCGTTTTGTCCTATTGTGGGACTCCTCGGTAGTGCGCATCCACCTCGCGAAATTCCAACCCAGGATCTATCAGTCTCGTACGCGCGAACGTTTAACCTCTAGACCACTGAAATGGTCGGCATCCAATGGTGTTAATGTTTAACTTCAACTAATCCATGAAATTGCGTGACACATTCATCATTGTATTCAGTGAGTTACTATCTCACAAGCGAACTGGTTACTACCTCTCACAAGAACTCCAGAAAATACTTTTTGAAGCCAGTCATTAACGAGAATATGTTGGTTTATATCAGAAGGTTTTTTTGTGGATATTATAGTAATTTTAACAGTAGGATGAAACGGCTGTCTAGTGCTTCCAGGTTTTCCATGATTGTCTAGCTTCAATTGACTCATGATCTCAACTACTGAAAGTGA